AAGTAATGAAACCGAACAATATTAAAGGTTTAAATGATTTTGAGTTTGGAAACTCGAAAAAAGTGCTACGTCACACGACATTAGTGAAGCAATATCGTCTACAGAAATCGTTTCCAGCTCAAATTTGTTTCTGGCAATTTATTTTTCTATTTCTACCCTGTCGTCGCATTAAAAACGGATTTTATAAACAAAATGAACTGGAATCAAAGTCGTTTGAAACACGACGTTCGTTTATTTACGTTTGCTTGATTCGCGTTTTATTTTTTTTCGCTGCGCGATCCCCTCAAATCGTAATTTTATTTTTCAATTACGCAAAACGCCTATAAAAGCAGACGACATCGTAATCCGCTGTTTCCATTTCAAAACCAATGTTTCCTGAAATGTTTTCATTGTGCTATTGTTTTTGGCGACACAATAAATTTGGTGACATTCATTTGGCGTTTAATTATAATATTCCAAGTTATTATATACGAAAATAAAACATATAATATAACACAACAGACCGATTTTCTATATAATCTGGATATTTTACCTGTTCTAACTGAAAAATCTAAAACTAACATCATTCTAACCTAAAACTTTACATTCTATATACATTTAGTGTTTACTATATCTAAGCTTTATTCTTACACTGTATTAAGTGTTACAACAGGACAAGCATACAAAAGGTTTTCGATTAAAAAATGAATCATAAAAAATAATAATAGACAGAAAAAAAAATTGAGAACCAACGGAGTAGCAAAATTTTTAGGCCGGTTAAAAAATAAAATTGATTTTCATTAAAATTACAGACATTCACTTCTATGTAAATTTCGTAATTTTGTAAACCTGTAATTATTATATTTTGCAACTAAATGCATTGCTTTGCTTTGATAATAAGAGAACTGGTTTTTCTCTGCCTACAATATGAGAGATTTGACTTACAAGACAGATATAATAAACAAGTAGAATCCCATTTGATGGACTACAGCATCCCACATAATAATTTCAAGAAAGAGCAAATTGAAATAATAATTGCCTTCGTCGAAATATTTTTATACGAAAACATCACATTTCATCATATCATTCCTTACATCCGCCATTTCGGAAAGCAAGGGAAAATAATTACATTCGCTTGGGAAAATATTAGGTGGTGGATGGTCATTTATCAAGCGACGTCGTGACGTCACTCCACGTCGGCCGGCGGGCTGCGATGCGATCCACTAATTTGATAGTATCGTAACACTTGTAAGATAATTTGAAAGAAATAAAAACATGGTCGGTGGTCTAGCAGGTTTGGAATTTACTACGATGGTAGCAGGTTATATATATATCCAGCAATTCGTATACATGAGTACGATTGGTTGTATTGGTTTGGTTGTTGCTATGTATGCATTTCTGTTAAAGTTAATATTAGGTGATCATTGTTTGTGGTCGGCGCAGTATGTCATCCTCTTCCACTGATCCCTATCAGATATGACATCTGAACATACTCTCCTTTTATTCATATCATCTTATTTTTTAATTAATATTAGGTATATAAAGTAAATAGTTTATTTATTTATTAGTAATAGACAAAGTATCGTGTCTTAATTTAAAAACCAACATTACTTTGTTGGTACTAGAATCGGTTCCCACAAAGTAGAAATATTATACATGAGTGTGATTGCTTGGGTTTGGTTATTGTTATGTATGTCTATTTAAACCATACTATATATGTATGTATGTACATATATATATATAATAAGTATCTTATGTATTTATTAGTGATAGATAAAAAATCGTGATAGATACTACTATCTCAATCTTATCCTATTTCAACCACCAAGTAACTTCTTCAGTAAGTGTATTACAGTTGAATAGAGAAATAATGCAGTAGAACTAAAGAGTAAGTATGTCATTTTAGTTCTCCGGAGTGGCAACACAGAACTCTTACATTTCAAAAAGCAAAATGGACAGACGTCCTTAAAGATTTTATACAGTCACCCTCGAAGAACTTGGTAGATAAGTTTTTTTTAATAGAATATTCGAATGTATAAATCAAATAAAATCAATATATCTTTATTTGTAGGTCTATTACAGATTCCTATGATATGTCAAATCTACTGCCAATGAAAATCTGAATATATTCTTTTTTTAAAGCCAAAATGTTGAGAAAACTCTTTTGATATTAATATATTTAAAGGTTTTTCTTTTTATTATTCTATTTATTATTCTATAATCAAAAATATAAAACAAAAATTATATCATGTCACCTTCTCTGTCTACCATACCATTAAAATAAATTTTGCAGTCATAAATAGTTTTAGTACATATTTATACAACATTCGTTATCAGCACGGAGAATAAATCAATTTAAAAGACGATTTAGCTCATTTATAATGGCTGGAAATAATTTTAATGGAATTAAAATATTGATGAGTCGTGAAGATTATACAGCATGGAAACCACCATCGAACTAAGGTATATGCCCACTGACTTGTTACCAGCTGATGTTTTGACAAAACCTTTAGGGAGCGTTAAACATCTAAGATGTATCTCAAATATGGGTATAGGATAACCTTGCTGATTTGTAATTTTGATACTGTTACTTTTGTTACGTTGTATTTTGTTATATATATATATATGTTTTGATTACGGGAGGATATGTTGAGAAAACTCTTTTGATATTAATATATTTAAAGGTTTTTCTTTCTATTATTCTATAATCAAAAATATAAAACAAAAATTATAACACAGCTATCTACCATTATTCTTTCCATAAATAGTTTTATTACATATTTATACAACACAAAAACGGTACCAGATGGAGGCAAATTGCGAGGCCTCTATCGCCAAGGAGAACAACGACGAGATATCATTATAAAAGCCACAACCACTCTGTCAAGAGTGAATGACTGAAGAAGAATAAGAATGTTTACAAAAATTCCTATTCATTTATAAATTCAAATTATTAGAAAGCTTTACAAAACAGTATTTCATAACTTGGATATGGGCATGATAATCCAATAAATTAGTCAAAGAAGAATGTTTACAAAAATTCATATTCATTTTTAAATTCAAATTGTTCTTATTTCATTTATTATAAAGCTGTTCGAAAATAGTCTTTCATAACTTGGATATTGAAATTCAATAATTTAGTGTTACAAAAAATTATATTATATTTAAATTCAAATTGTTCTTACATTTATTATAAAGCTGTTCGAAAACAGTCTTTCATAACTTGGATATAGGCATGATAATTCAATAATTTAGTCAAAGAAGAAGGTTTACAAAAAATTATATTCATATTTAAATTCAAATTGTTCTTATTAATTTTTAGTCAAAGAAGATATAAGTATGATAATTCAATAATTTAGTCAAAGAAGAAGGTTTACAAAAAAATATATTCATATTTAAATTCAAATTGTTCTTATTACATTTATTATAAAGCTGTTCGAAAACAGTCTTTCATAACTTGGATATAGGTATGATAATTCAATAATTTAGTCAAAGAAGAAGGTTTACAAAAAATTATATTCATAATTAAATTCAAATTGTTCTCATTACATCTATTATAAAGCTGTTCGAAAACAGTCTTTCATAACTTGGATATAGGCTTGATAATCCAACAATTTACTTGGACAACGATTTAATTAGAAATTTGACATTAATTATCGTATCAGGCATGTTAATCGTGGAGTTTATACTGAGATTAATACGTTACTACTGCATTGTGCAGTGACGAGGTGACGTCATCAATCAATGACCTCTTTGTCATATCTAATGATGTCATTTCTTTTATGTATCTGAGATGAATAAATACCTAATATTGCGAACTCGGTGGTCTATTGGTTTATCACACCGTCTTTATTCTAATGGTCACGGGTTAGATTCCTCGCACGGTACAAACATTTTGTATTCACAAGTATGATGATTTTATTGGTCTGGGTGTTTTCTATGTATACTATGCATGTATTTATAAAAAATGTTTCTATGTATTTATATCAGTTATCTAGTATCAATAATAGAAGCTCTGTTTAGCTTGGGACTAGATGGCACTATTTCAATTGTCTTGAGCTGTCACTAATAATAATTATTTATCATAACTTATTCTGAATGGGATAGTCAAAAGAATTATCAACTGTGAAATAAGAAAAAGAATGTAGCAATTATGGTAAAAGTATAATGCTGGACATCTGGAATATTGTTGGTAATTTTTTTTAAATATATGACATTATATTTTTGTTCGCACCACTGTGTTTATAAGTTCTTAAAAGGCAAACTACTACGATACCACTAATCGTCTATTTACAGGATCACCAACACATAACGTATTCATGTAACTCTGGTAATACCACTACCACACATTGTCCATAACCACACAACGCATGATCACGCTACCATGCTTTAATTTCACTGCCTTATCTTATCTTATCTTATCTTATTTACAAAGCAAGCTATTATCAGATGAAATAGGTGAGACAGAGGTACCCACTAAGGGCATTTAGTACAGTCTATTTCAGTTTTATGATACCGAGTATTCGTCTATTAAAAGGTTTGCCTGCACTTTTTATAGTATAGGGCGTAAACGAGCTTATGGCTGACCTGATGGTAAGTGATTACCGCCACCCATGAGCATCCGCAACACTAGAGGAATTGCAAGAGCGTTGCCGGCCTTTTAAGAACGAATAGGCTCTTTTCTTGGTTTTCTTCATTTGGTACTATTAGATATGTTACTAGGGGGTGTATTTATATTCAGGTTTGTTGTGTATAAAGATATTTTATTACAATAAAACTAAATTGCAGACATATAAAGTTATGTACCACTACTGTTCTAAATAAAATTAAGAGTTAGGAGCACAATAATTAATCTGTATGTTTGCAGAAGAAGCCATTTTGTAGTTTTCTAGTTTTCCCGCGCAAACGTAATGCCCCACAGATGCACAATACTGCACTGATGACGAGCGCGTCATAGCTGTATGCGCGATGTTAATACTACTATGAATATAAATAGGTACAATTAAACAGTAGGTACTTACATCTCGTCCGTTGAGCAACCATGTGAGGTTTGCAGGCGGATCCGCAGGCGGTGATGTGCACATAGCTCTGAGGGAATCACCTGATGCATACCATCCCTTCTCAGCTTTTATCGTAGGCTTCTCTGGTGGTAATTCTGTGGACAATGACATTTATCCATATTAGTTTATGTTTAAATATTTGAATAGCTTGATGTGTTTGGATTTGGTTTTGTCAATTCCTCGGACAGAATTAATGTATAACATCACAATGGTAGTTTTTATAAGAGTCAGGTAGTACCCGTTTGTTTTGCCTCTGAGGCAAACGGGTCGCCATGATTGATTTCCGTCTTGTAAAAAAACAAGGTCTAGCAAAACACAAAGCTGCTGCATAACAACACTTGATATAGTTATACTGTATATATATATTATATTATAGCAATGTAATTCTAATTACCTAGTCATAAAAATTATGATATTGAAATTTTATTCACTAACAACTTACTTAACTAAAAACCATGCATGGCAATAGGCGATTACGCACGTGATTTTCACTAGACATCTATATAGGTATATAATGTTAAGAATATACTTTTAAAAAAAGATTTATTTTATATTCTTAATAGTTAGATAGTTTGTTTTACTTCTCAATTGAATGTGAGACTGAAGGCTCATTGAAATACACTTATTTCGTAGAGAAAAAATATTAATTCAAAAGCATAAATAAATGATTTTTTAATTTGAATTTGAAGTAGCTGAGCCCGAACAAAAACCATAGATACTAATGGTATTTTGTGATGTTTACAAAAGATACCTACACGAATTTATTCCAAGCGAATAAATGCTTTCGACGTTCACACTTGACCTAATCAAGATCATTACGTACGTACTCAAAATAATAATACGAAACAAAGGAAATCAATAATATTTCCGGGCGTCCCACTCTATGGTAGATAGCAATAAAAACAAATGTACCGTCAGTATTCTGTTATTTCCCTTCATGGCACAGTTGTGTAAACCTCGAGCACGTTTTGGGAATACTAATCTTGGATCTAAGGTGAGTGGAAGGGAAGCTTTGGAAGGTGATAATGGCGGAGTAGGTACAGTGGAATTGTAGACCGTGAAGCGGAAAGAAATACCATTGATTGCGACGATCCCGGTGGTGTGTTTATTGGGAGAATTTACTATTACGTGTTTCCGATTTTAGAAATTTAAATTCAGGGGCACAAGTTAAAAAATATATACATGCCGTATTACTACGGCATGTATATATTTTTTAACTTGTACCGTAATTAAGTCAACACTATATGATAGTAAATGTGTGTTGGTAATTTGAAATTAACAGCATATTCATGTATATAACGCATTAAGTCAACACTATATAATAGTAAATAGTTAATTAAATATTTTGTTAATTAAATATTTTGTCTATCTGTTTGTTCTCGCTAATCTATGAAACGGCTCCGATTTTGACGAGACTTTCACTGACAGTTATTTTAGAAAACTTTTTCTAATAAAAGTTAAATCCCACGCGGGTAATACAAAATGCGAAAACAGTAAATTACAATAATCAACTTTGAATTAAATACCTAAACTCATGGCCAGTACAAAGTATTCGCAAATGTTATCATTATTTCATAACTACAACGACAATAAAACAAGTAAATAGATGAATTAATTTACTTGATATTACAATTTGACAACGTATATATAACCCTTTTTAGAGACAAATTTTGTCGAAATTTTTTAATTTTTACCCGCAAAATCTGAGGAAAAATGCCAAAGTGTTCATTCTTAATATTAGGGTTGTTAAAATGCAGATTACGTTTAATGCTTCTGAAGAAGTCATTGCACAAAGTTCTTACCCAAATACTCCTAAGTGAACTCTTTGTAGTCATTTCGCCAAATAAACCGGCCGGGCCCCTGGGAAGGTCCGATAATGACCTTGACCTACGATTAGGATAGCCAAAGTTCCCAATGTAATCAGGAAGTCCCGATTGTAGACTTCTGTCTCACGTGACGAACCAAATCGTCTCGAAATCCATCATTTCGATTGTCAACATTACATACGACGTTCATAATTACGTTATCGTCATATTTATTGCTAACTATGATCATATTTTAATGCATGTTACATAAGCCGAAATGAGCAAAATAAAATTTGTCCTATAAATCCCGAAAAATTCATAATCATAGTTGGTCACCCTACCTTGACCTTTGATATTAAATTTGCAAAGTCTATGACCCTGTTAATTAAATCAAAACATATATCTACATATCTCTCAACGCGTGTTAAATAAACGGTCGAAATGAACAGGACCAAATTTATACTTCAAATCCTGAAAAATTCATAATCAGAGTTGGTCATCCTACCTTGACCTTTGATATTAAATTTGCAAAGTCTATGACCTTCTTATTTAATTAGAAATATGTATCTATCTATGTATTAATATTCACGCTAGATCTCTTAAAAGATAGGCAATGTGAACCATTGTCTTCTGGGTTAAGGGGATTTTGAGCAGAGATTTTTTTTAATAGACGAATATGCACACATAGCGAAGGTTATCACTTACCATCAGGTGAGCTTATTCCTTTGCCATTTAGGTAACAACACCGCATATTTAATATTATCTGTACTAATATTATAAACGCCAATGTAACTCTGTCTGTCTCACTGTCTGTCACACTTTCACGCCAAAACTACTATATCGATTTAAATCAAATTTATTACACAAATAGTATAAATTCCCGGAAAGAACATACACTACATTTTACTACGAATAAAGGGTTGTAAGGGGTTGAAAGGGGAGAGGAAAGATTATATGGAAGACTCGTTATTTTTCCAGCTAGAAGCTTGAAACTTATTTTCTAGACTGTTGATTAAATATAAATAAATATGACATTCAAAGTAAGTACAAATTTTACCCTTAGGGTGTAAAATAAAATTTGAGGATAAAAGTTTGTATGGAAAGTCGTCACACGTCGTCTATCGATGTAGACAAAATCACGGGCAAAGGTAATATTAAATAATGCATCTATTTCCATTATATTTATACTATGATGTATATAACTATATTTTGCACTGACGCTGACAGGTTTTGTTTCTTGCGTGTGAGTTTTCCTATTAGTTACCAACCGACTTCAAAAAGCGATGTGTTAAATTATGCTGAAATATTTTTTTATAAATGATGCTACTTACACTCATAATATAGAGTATTTATTTATTTGAGCGACCAACAAGATATACACTATGAGGTTACAATTATTATCACTTGCAAAAAGTTCAGGTATATAGTGTTAACTTAATTACTGGTTGCCACGGCATGCGTAAATGTTTACAGAAGTTTATATATGTATACATATTTATCTTTTTATTTTATTTTACTTTATATATGTTTATATTTTTTTATTAATATATTTCTTTTATTATTTATATGTCTATATGTTATCTGTCTGTGTTAATGAAACAGGTTTGACTTTTGTTTCAATATGGGTTCTTGAATGGTTGACTTGAATTTGGAGAAACTAGAAAAAGTATTATATGATAAAGGATATGTGATAATTGTTCGTTGTTTTATTTACATAATTTCGATATTTCAATTACATAAATCCTTTAGAAAGCAAATAATATAGGCTCTAATATATCCACCCAGATAACGTAACGCTACACAGTTTTAATATTGAACAAGATTTTTAAAAATATAATTACTTCACTGTTACTTGAAATGTTTCATTCGTTTATTTTATTACGAATTTAAACAAAATACAGTTCACTCTTTTGAATTTGTTTAATTAAATAAATAAACAATACTTAGAATATGATACATAATAATATTAATTCATTAGATATTAAAATTTCAAATGTTGCCTAAATTATCAGTATACATCATAACTCTGTGTATAATTAGACTGCGGTTCAAATTCCAAGGTAAAGCTGATATACATAATATAGTATTTTATTCAGTAATAATCAGTGATCGGAGTAGGTAGAGCTATATGTACTTGCCATATGATAGAATTATGTGGATATTCCCCAAAATCCGGGATTTATTTTTTACGTATAAAAGTTGTTTTTTGAAGTTGTTTTTTTTTTTAATAATATAAAGCTTTTTATAATTTTTTCAGAGAGTGAAAACACTTGAAACAATATACTTGTGACAAGATTGAGACAATTGAATTGCAGTGCTGCAGAAAGCGACAAAAACATGTGCGTCACTCTAGTAACACCCGTCACACTACCTGCATGTGTGAGCAAGAGGGTATTATGCAGTGATATCACAACGAGTGTCAACAACGTCGCCATCTCGCCAACGACCTCGGTGGTCTAGCGGTCTAGCGCACCGCTTTATGACCGATGGTCGCGGGTTCGATTCCTTGCACGGCACAAACGTTTGTATTCATGAGTATGATTGTTTGTATTGGTCTGGGTATTTTCTATGTGTAATATGTATGTATTTACAAAAAAAATATCTATGTATATGTATCAGTTATGTATCCATAACACAAGCTTTAACTAGCTTAACTTGGTTCTAAATGGCACTGTGCGAATTGTCCTGAGATTATTATATTATTATTATTTAGCAAAAACTTTGGCAATGTTGTTGATATAAAATATACAACGTCTCTCGTACGCTACAGTTCCATATTTATACTTATTGATAAAAATAATTATAATAATCAAATCCCGGAGTATTAGTTGGAAAATCCATATTAACATCAATGTTTCAGGTCAATGATCCTAAATAGCTCTACCTCCTCCGATCGATGGCAATTGTTAATAATTATATTTAGCCTAGATTAGAGTATTTGTTGATTAATGTAACAACTATGAAGGCATTATTCAGTGGCGTTAGCTACAATTCTAATGCTCTCCACATTTGTGTCCACCTCTTTAAAGCCAGGTATAGAGATTATAATATCTACAATAAGCAGAATGTAACGTCTTAAAACCATAAATGGTTGTTGAAATTCAGCAGCTCTACCAAAACGTGTCCGTCATCAAACTTTTGCTCAATCATCTCACTAACACATGCTTCACTTAAAGGTATAATAGTTTATATGTTTAACAATAATCCCTTGCTTACTAAGCGTTTCAGTTGTTAATTTTACTGTAACTTTACCTTTATTGGGGTAAGCAAGAATACTGAGTTAGTTCCTCGATTTAATGTTTTGTG